CGGACTTCCAGCTCTATTACAAAGCTGTCATCATCAAGACAGTACGCTACTGGCACAAAAACAGACACATAGATCAATGGAACAGAATAGAGAGCCCAGAAATGGACCCTGAACTCTATGGTCAACTAATCTTCGACAAAGCAGGAAAGAATATCCAATGGAAAAAAGACAGTCTCTTCAACAATTGGTGTTGGGAAAATTGGACAGCCACATGCAGAAGAATGAAACTGGACCATTTCCTTATACCACACACAAAAATAGACTCCAAATGGTTGAAAGACCTAAATGTGAGATAGGAGTCCATCAAAATCCTAAAGGAGAACACAGGCAGCAACCTCTTTGACCTCAGCCACAGTAACTTCTTCCTAGAAAATCGCCAAAGGCAAGGGAAGCAAGGGCAAAAATGAACTATTGGGATTTCATCAAGATAAAAAGCTTTTGCACAGCAAAAGAAACAGGCCAGAAAACCAAAAGACAACCGACAGAACAGGAGAAAATATTTGCAAACGACATATCAGATAAAGGGCTAGTATCCAAAATCTACAAAGAACTTATCAAACTCAACACCCAAAGAACAAATAATCCAATCAAGAAATGGGCAGAAGACATGAACAGACGTTTTTCCAAAGAAGACATCCAAATGGCCAACAGATACATGAAAAAGTGCTCAACATCGCTCGGCATCAGGGAAATCCAAATCAAAACCTCAATGAGATACCACCTCACACCAGTCAGAATGGCTAAAATGAATAAGTCAGGAAATGACAGATGTTGGCGGGGATGCAGAGAAAGGGGAACCCTCCTACACTGTTGGTGGGAATGCAAGCTGGTGCAACCCCTCTGGAAAACAGTATGGAGGTTCCTCAAACAGTTGAAAATAGAGCTACCATATGATCCAGCAATTGCACTATTGGGTATTTACCACAAAGACACAAATGTAGGGATCCGAAGGGGTACGTGCACCCCAATGTTTATAGCAGCAATGTCCACAATAGCCTAACTGTGGAAAGAGCCAAGATGTCCATTGACAGATGAATGGATAAAGAAGAAGTGGTATAGATACACAATGGAATATTATGCAGCCATCAAAAGGAATGAGATCTTGCCATTTGCAATGACGTGGATTGAACTGGAGTGTGTTATGCTGAGTGAAATAAGTCAATCAGAGAAAGACATGTATCATATGACCTCACTGATATGAGGAATTCTTAATCTCAGGAAACAAACTGAGGGTTGCTGGAGTGGTGGGGGGTGGGAGGGATGGGGTGGCTGGGTGATAGACATTGGGGAGGGTATGTGCTATGGTGAGCACTGTGAATTGTGCGAGACTGTTGAATCACAGATCTGTACCTCTGAAACAAATAATGCAATATATGTTAAGAAAAAAAATAAGAATAAGATAGCAGGAGGGGAAGAATGAAGGGGAGTAAATCGGAGGGGGAGATGTACCATGAGAGACGATGGACTCTGAAAAACAAACTGAGGTTCTAGAGGGGAGGTGGGTGGGGGGATGGGTTAGCCTGGTGATGGGTATTAAAGAGGGCACATTCTGCATGGAGCACTGGGTGTTATGCACAAACAATGAATCGTGGAACACTACATCCAAAACTAATGATGTAATGTATGGTGATTAACATTACAATAAAAAAAGATTTTTTTTTAAATTAACTATGAAATGGATTCCATTTCTTTTTATCCTTAATAAGGAAAAACTGATGAACCCAGTGGTAAATACAGTTTGTCACCAAGCCCTCAACCTGGAGCTCATGGCTGTTTCTCTTGGAGGTAAAAACTTAGATGATTTAAACTGTTTTATTTATGTTTTACTTTTTCTGCATTTTCTAAATATTCTTCAATGAGTATATATTACTTGTATGATTAAACAAAATAGATGCTATTACAGACCAATGTAGGTGACCACACATACACCACGAGAACACAAATGAACTCAAAATATTAACTGTTACTATTTCGGAGATAGGGCGTAAGAAAAGGAGTGATATTTTTTTCCTTTCTTCAGTGTTTCAAATGTTTGTTCACAACTTTTTTTTTACATGTTATAGTGAAATCTCAAAATTAATTTCAAAGAGCTCAGAGAAGGTTTTATTGTTTGTTTTAAGTTAGGGACTGCACCTACCATGTCTTTACCCAGCTTAACAAGTCCTTTGGGAAGTTCTTCTTACTTAGCCTAAATCCCAGGTGCTTCTGTGTTAGGCGGGCATGTGTGATGGTCTTGCTGGTAACGGAAGTGCTACTGAGATGGTTTGGGCCTAGGGGTGGGGACAAATCACAGAATCCCTAATTCTGTAGGGGGAGAGAGGGAGAAAGCAGAATCCTTTCAGGGTGCAAACCTATATCTGGGCAGATGAAGTCTCCCTTCCTCCCCACCTAGGTCTCCCCAGGAGGTGCCGTCTGACCTGGTCCCTCGGGGGGAGCTCTGGCCACCCCTCGCTTCCACATCCAATCTCTAATCCCTTAACGGGACGGAGTGGAGCAGAAAAAAAAACAAAGCAAAAGGCCCATTATGCGAAGGAAATAGAATGGAGCTCCTACGCCCACTACTAATCCCCTCTACCTTGCTCAACTTTTTTTTTCTCTGTAGCATCTCATACCTTCTCACATACTGTATAGTTTATTTTTGCTGTTCATGATGTCTTCCCGACTCGCTCACAAGAACGTAAGCTCCCGGGGGCAGGAATCACTGTGTCGAGTGATGTATCCCGAGGGCCCGATACAAAGCCCGACACGTGGTAGGTGGTCGGTACCTAATTTTGAATACGATTCAAAACAGAAAACTGAAATATACGGGACAAAGAATTGATGAGATACACAAAGTGGAAACAGCAAGACAGCATATACCGCGGAATTGTAACTAAAAATACGCATCCGTTTGAGAGGGATGAGAGTCTGGAAGGAAACACAGCAATTGCTGATGTTGATTCTAAATTTGGGGGACTGTGGGTGACTTTGCTTTCTTCTTCGTTGGTTTTCTGATCGTCTGACTCGGGGTGCAAGTGGCACCTCTGTGATCATATGAAAACGTTTGCTTGGAAAAAAAGAGGGAAGAAAGGTGGGGTCCTGAGCCAGCTGCAGTCAGCGCGCAGGTGGTGTCTTGGTGCTGGAGGCGGCCTGGACCCTCAGTGTGGAAATACCAACCCCACCCACCCTGGAAGGACTCGCCCCTGGGGAGAGCCTCCTTTTTATGGGCCTGGAATCTCCATGTCTTTAACGCTCCTGAGGTGAAATTTCTCTCCTGTGGGCCACTGCCCTCTCCCCGTTAGCGGAAGCCTGTTGTAGGGCAATGCAGTGTTCTGTTTTGATAATACCGGAGTGTGCATCGAGGCTCACATGCTGAGCGTGACCACAGAGGCGTGACGTGGTTAAAGTGTAGTGTAGGACTACTGGTATGTGGGGGGCGTGGGACAGCCTTGTCTGCTGCCCCCACTAAAGCTGTGCCCTGGTGTCCCCATAAAAGAAGGGACCACTTTCCAGAGTAAGAGTTGGTGGCAGTGCCACCCTGCATGTGGCCAGGAGGCAACAGAAGCCACGGGGAGCAGCAAGGATGACCAGCCCAGCATTCGTGGGCCCTGAGATCACCAGGTGTGCTGAAACCTGAGAACACTCAGCTCTCCTCTGGAATGTGGCCCTCGTCGAAGCTTCCATCCAGACACTGAGTTGGACCGGGGCCGGGTCCCAAGAAACAGGACCATGCAACTGGTTTCTGCAGAGCAGGTGGGGTTGAGGTTTGTAAAAGACAATGATGAACGATGTTTGGTCTTTGCGTCCAACCATACTTGAAAATCTCACCCCCCACCAAGGTTCAAAGATGTAACTTTTGAACCATCTTGGGCTTGTCATTAATTCATACGTAAAATGGTAAGCCCCATACCTCTTGTGCTTTCACATTTCTCTTCTTTCTTATATTTCTCCTTAGCCCCTATTTACTAGCTGAAATCCTAAACATCCATCAGCTTCTTGTCTGTCTCTCCGCAGAAAGTAAGCTCCATGAGGCAGAGATCTTCTCTCTTGAACTCTGCTATATCTCTCATCTGAGAACAGCATCTGGGATGTAGTAGGTGCTCAATAAATATTGGTAGGAAGCGACAGAAAGAGAGAGACTCAAAGACAAGGAGATGGGGGCACCTGGGTGGCTCAGTCATTAAACATCTGCCTTCAGTTCAGGTCATGATCCCAGGGTCCTGGGATCCAGTCCTGCATCGCATCAGGCTCCCTGCTCAGCGGGGGGCCTGCTTCTCCCTCTCCTCCCTGCTCCCCATCTCTCTTACTATCTCTGTCTCTCAAATAAAATCTTAAAAAAAAAAGATGAGACGTATCTTTATAAAGAATGTTTCCATTTACTTTATTACTTTAGATCTGAACCTGCATTAAGTGATGGTTAGTTGCACAAGCTCAAAGCATCCCCGCAACATGAACTGGAGACAAGCCCGGGTTTGGACCTCTGCCACTCAACATCAAGTCCAGTGGCCATAGCATTCAGCCCTGTGACTTAATTTGCATCCACTGGGGCTGTGACAGCCCTGGCTGCAAAGACTCAGAGGGGTCTGCTCAGGGAGATGGTGGGAAGGGGTGAAGGATCCCTCAGGATGGGGGCTTGCTTCTCTCCCAGCCTGTGGCCGCCCGAGAGAGGACACCTGAGGGAATGCAGGGAAGGCTCATGGTGCCTGGGAGCTCAGGGGTAGAGACACCCAGTTCTTTCACCAAGTGACTCAAAATAGGGCCCCAAGCCCCCAGAAGGATACAAAGAGGACCTAAAAGAAACTTAAGCTTGAAGTTTCTGAGAAGCAGCCCCATTTCTTTTCCTGCCTGTGCTCATTCTCTCGCTCACTCTAGCCTCTCTCTCTCTCTGCACACGCGCACCTTGCCGAGACCCCGGGAGGCCAGACCCTGGCAGACGCAGGCCAGGAGGCCCGTGCAGGTGCACAGCCACGCTCTGTGAGGTCCCTGGCCGCTGCGGCGGTCCCTAAGCGGGGCTGGCTGGCTCACACGTTTGTGTGCTGAGAACCAGAGGATGCGATGCTGCCCGGCTGGCTCCGGCCTGAGGGTGCAGAGCTGGACGCCCGGCTCGTGCTGCGCCGCCCCCCTCCCAGGCTCCTCTGGGCTGGCTCGTCCGTCAGCTTGAGTTTCTCATGCTCCTCCTTCAGGAAGAAGTCCACCAACAAGCCCTTCTCTTTCTTGATCTGGTCGCTGATGTCCGTGGGGATGTCGGGAATCATCCAGTCCACGAGGACACTCAGGAACATCACGAGGTTCTGCCAAAAGCCAGGGAGAGAGGTTGAGAGGAGAGGCCCAGCGCAGTGGGGCACCAGGGCTCCCCCACCGACGGTCACCCTTGCCCATCAGAGTGGGGTGGGCGGTGTGGCACCAAGGCGGGGGCGGGGGCGGTGGCGAGCACAGACCCAGGAGCAGGACACTGCCGTGCCCTTCTGGCTCTGCTACTTTCTAGCAGGTGCCCCGAGCCAGTGGGCAGAGGTGCCCCACAGCGTCCCCATATAGGAAGTGGAGCAGTAATAAGTACCTGCCCCCTGAGCTGTTGTGAGGATGACACCAGTCAGTGCCTCACATGGGGCGGGGCTGTTGCTGGCCCCCTCCTGTCCTTCCTGCCCGGCCTCTCAGCCTGCAGGCGCCCTGCTCCAGCGCTCCCTGGGAAGTGGGCACAGGGCCCGCTGGTCCCCCCCAGGGCTCCCCCCGAGCCCACTGTTCCTCTCTGGCTTCCAGCCGGCGTCAGTCCTCCAGGTCAAAGATGGACCTTTGGTTTCTGTGCTGACTTCTGGCCTCAGCCAACCTCGCCCTCACCTGATCCCGCTCTCTCTCCCATCCCGCTGAGCGGGCCACACCGGTCGGTCTAGGGCCCCCGCCTGCAGCTGCCCCTTCTCCATTCTCAGCTTCTGTGCACGCTGGTAACTGGCTTCCTTCTTCCACCTGCTGAGCCCCACCCCTGCGCTTGCAAACATTCCTGTAGCACTTTCCACGGAAGTGGCAAATACCTCACAACAGCGCCAGCTCAGCCCGGTACATGGCAGCTCCCTTCATAGCCCAGTTCCCACCCAGTTTGCCCCCTGAGCTGGGGCATTCTCTGCCCGCCAGGCACACGCGCACTCTGAGATCCAGGGACAGCGACGGAGCCCCAGACGAGATCTCTAGGGCACGGCTGTCTTCCAGGCTCCAAACCTATTCCCACCTTGACCTTGACCCTCCCCTGCACCTAGGGGCCCAGGGGAGGGCCAGCGGACCAGCTGCTGCGTCCAGGGGCTCCTGGGTGCCTTTCATGCTCTAGAGTGGCTTCAAGCCACACTCTCCCCTTAAACCAACTTTCACAGTGTTAACAAGTGTTCCACGTGACCTGTGGGAAAGTCAGGGGACGCCTGCAGGGGGAAGCAGCTTTTCAAATCCATCGCCCCATCTCCCCAGAGCAAGAATGACTGTCTTCTTTAGGTGAAAGACTAGCCGATGGGCTTCTCTACTTCCTGGGCCGGGGTCAGGCCAGGATATCTTAGAGCCCCCCAGAGATCTGCCTTCAGGGAATACAAAAGCCTGAGGGAGTGGAAGGGAAAAGGATCTGGGCTCGCACTCCAGCCCCTCTTGAAGGGCGGCAGGACCCCAAGTGGGACCTGGGGCCGCATACCCGCAGATCTCGGCCATGCAACCCGAGCTACGGCTATTGTCAGAGATAGCGATCGCAGGGCTCGAGTTTGCTATTCATCCATGGAGGCATGGCCGGATGGCTCTGGGGCCCTCCCCACCATATGTCTCAGGGGCCGGAGCACGCTAACAAAGGAGGGAGCCAGCCGAGAGCTAGAAGAACGGTTCAGAACTCGAGCCCTTTCTTGAGCTGCAGAGACCACGTGGGCTCTGTTTGTCTACAGTAGGGTTGAGACTCTGGTCCCCACTGCTCTTCTCGCTTCCTTTCTTGTCTTAGGTCTAAATGGGACTCTATCTCCACCCTGCATCTTACCCCACATCTGTCTTGTAACCTTACTCTGCGTTCTATTCTCTTTCTGCAAATCCATCCATTAATGGAAGTCCTCTTGAGAGTGCTCCCTGCCTCCTCCACTTGCAGAGACCCCTGTGTCACAGTGCCCTGAAAGCATGGGGCAGAGGGGCAGGCGAGGAGACACGGCTGTCTTTACCCCTGCAGCCCAGATTCTATTCCTTATCTGAACAACTCACCTGGAAGATGATGACGAAAGCCAGACGGGCAGACAGAATGGCCCAGTACTGTTTGGAAAACTCATACGGGTTCGGGGCCCAAGGCGGCTCTCGGTAATCCTTAAACCTGCCCAGAGAGAAATGTGGTGTTAAGACTGGGAAGAGACGGAGGGAAGGGGGTGCTTCTGATCCTCAAGGATCAGAACAGCCTGTAAGCCCCAGGCTCCCAGACTTGGGAAATAGGAGGAAGCAAGGAGGGAGGAATTCACAGCCCCACCAACAAGCGTCCATGGAATAAAAGGACCAAAGTCCTAAAAAAAGCCCAGTGTTGACCTGGAAATGCCTTTTTCCTACTCTCTCTCTTGAACATCCCCCACGGCTTCCTCTGGTGTCTGGATTCTTCTTCCAGAGGAGCCCAGGAATCATGAGAAGAGCCCAGCACAGTGGTCCATGTTGGCCCCACTGGCCATGAGCTCAAGAGGGGAGGGAGATGCCCAGAAACTTTGGACAGCTCTCAGCAGGCCCTGGGCTCAGGGATGACACAGGTGGCTGCAGACAACCCCAGGCTTCCTTCCTGGCTGGCTGCCTTGGGACCATGGCCATAGAGGCGACTTCATTCTTGCACCCCAAGGAAGGCTGACTCAAACCAAGCTCAAGGCTGAGTGAATTTGGGGGAATGGTGGTAATAGTGATGGTTGGTCAGTATCCTCTTCTACTGACCACATTTATGATCTGTCCATGTGGCTTAAGAAACAAAAGGTCAGTGTCTGGCATGAGCTCACGCCTCTTTCTCAGACCCACGGAGAGATTTTCCTCACTGCTGTCTTTTCACCCCCATTCTGTGATGACTCATGTTAAAAACTGCTCATTTTCGGGGCACCTGCACGGCTCAGTCAGCTAAGCTTCTGACTCTTGATTTTGGCTCAGGTCATGATCTCAGGGTCCTGAGATCAAGCCCCACATCAGGCTCAGCAGGGAGCCTGCTTGAGATTCTCTCTCTTCCACCCCCTCTGCCACCCCCCCCCAAAAAAGGCTCATTTTCTCAGACTCACTTTTTTCTAAGCCTGGACAAGTGACAAGAGCTGGTACCAGAAGAATTATGACCCTTCATGGAACTGTTTTCTCCACGGAATTCAACAGATCTTTGAGGCTTAGTCAAAGCAAAACAAGCCCTGGGGGAAGGAGGGGGACTCAGGGCTGCTGAGGAAGGCAGGGCGGGGGACTCTGTCTGAGGAGGAGCCAACAAGGAAAACGACCTACACCGAACGGAGCAAGGAGCTTCTCTGGGAGCTTTCCCATTCAATCTCCATAGCATCTTCCGGCAGGCACCGATATCCCCATAGAATGAAGACGGGGGACACTGAGGCTCAGAGAAGGTCAGTTACTTGCCCAGGTCTCTCATGGCCAGCAAGGACTAGAGTCAAGGCAAGAATCCCAGTCTGGCTGAAGGCAGGCCTTTCCTCTATTGTCGCAAAGCACCTCTCCAAGAGCTGTGGTTTGAGGTGGGGGATTCAGAAATGGATGTTTTGGTTTTTTTTTTAAGATTTATTTTTAAGATTTATTTACTTACTTGAGAGAGAGAGAGAGAGTAGGGGGAGGAGCAGAGGGAGAGAGAGAATTTCAAGCAGACTCCCCAGTGAGCGCGGAGCCCAACATGGGGCTTGATCCCACCACCCTGAGATCATGACCTGAGCTGAAATCAAGAGTCAGATGCTTAATGGACTGAGCCACCCAGGCACCCTAGAAATGGGTGCTTTCTGTCCCTTCTCCCCCTGGAATGAGCCAGCTGCCCTAAAAGATCCGGATAAAAGCATGGGGCTTCCAACTGTCCACAGAGAGATGCAGGAAGAAGAGAAGGAAAAAAGAGGAAAAGGAAGAGATGTACACAGACAGAAAGAAAAAGGCAGAGCGACAGAGTCAACAACAGGAAGAGACAAACAGACGTGGACAGTAAGCAGTCGACTAGGGTTGGGCAGGAGGCCAGGAGCTGCCCCTTCCCCACCTCCCCTTTCCAACAGCTGATCACAGCTGTTGCAGGCTTGCTTTGACATCCGGATGAAAAGCAAAGCTAACTGCAGCCCAGCAAAACACGACGGGATTCAGCATATCCATCCGAGGCTGAGGACAGAAGCACGGCCAGCTCTAGATTAGGCTTGCTAAGGGGAGAGAGGGAGAGCATGGCTAAATGGAGGACACCTTGGGGTGGGAAAAAGCTCAGGTTCACTTCCCTGCAGCTGCCCCCCAAAGGACCCCAAGGCAAAAGGGGATTTATTTACTCTTCTCAAGATCTCAGGAGGACGGGTGCGACACATATGCCCACTCTGTGCCATGGGGACACCCTTTCCCAGGTCCAGCCCCATCCCTCCTGCTACAATCAAAATCTGTTTCCCTTGTGCTCTAGCTCCATCAGTGAAGGAACAGCTGCTCACTGACCTTGCTCTAGGAGCCACTGCTCATCCCTCTTTTTTCCCAGTCTGAAAAGAATCCATAAATAATCTAATTCTGGTCCCACCTCTGATACTAACTCACCACAGATTTTGGAGATGTCCCTTTGCCCTCCCTAAGTGTCCAAAACATTTTTAAAATCGAACAAACACATCCATTGAATCAAAGGTCTGGGGAAAGAGTAACATAGATATTTCCAGAAAGCTTTACTTGAAAACACAAAACCACTAGGGTGTCTAAAAAACAAGTGTGCACTGGGAGTGGCCTTTGTCACTTACTAGCCATAAGACCCCAAGAAACCTGTTTCTCATCTCTGAACCTCAGCATTCTAATCTTTAAAATGGAGCTAGTAAAAACGTGCATCTCCATGCTGAGCACACAGAAGTGCTCCAGCTCTCGCCCACCAACCATAAATAAATGAACACATACATGCGTGCTCGTGCGTGTACATTAAATGTTAAAGGAAAGCACAGTGAAAATTAAATAAGACAATGCATGTGACTGTGATTTCTGGAGGCTTCCACAGAGAACAAACACAACGGTTTCTTCTGGGAGAGAATGACTGGGGTCAGTACTATGAAGAAAATGTTTTCCTTTTGTATCTATACATATGTATACAGAATTGCTTTTATGATAAAAAAAATCATAATTTCAAAAGGATATAATTAATGGCAATATTTGGGGGACCCAAACACATTTTTATACTAAGCTTTGAGGAGCAAAATTACAGTGTTAACTGAGACAGACTCATATATAGTAAGTGAAACTGGTACAAAACTCATTATTATAATTTAGCTTTAAATTACTTTAAGATTATATCTAGATTGTTCTAACACTATGAAGAATCACATGGAGTTGAATTTATATACTACTTAAAGAAATAAGGTTCCCATTAATTCAAAATATATTTCATTATTATAAAACAAAGCCATGAAACCCCATAAAGGTTCTATGAGCTCACTTGGTGTTAACGCACGGAAAAGTCTGCAAAAGACGCGCACAAATGCTTTGCAGTGAATACTGTTGGGGAGGTGCCTAGGACCAGGCAGAGGGTAGGGTGGACGTGGGACAGAGTCAGAGAGGCTGCCTGTAATGTTTAGGGTTTTTAGTATGTTACATGTATCATGAAATACTAAATTTTTTAAGGAAGAAGCAGAAAAGAATCTTTGGAAATTATTCATTCCGTGTCCCCATTTTTATAGATGGGGACACTGAGGTGTGAAGGGGGAAGAGAGACTCCTGGCTTAGATGTCCCCCTCCCATCCTCACTTGCAGGGGTGGCCAGTGACAGTGACAGGAACATCTGCCACAATTCATCAGCATCCAAAATCGCCGTGGGCAGGAAGGGTGCCGAAGTAACAAACTGAGGAGTTAGTCATCAACAATCAGGGATGGCTTTTCCCAAAAATGAGGTTTTAGTTACATTATGAATCAGTTAGTAAAAACATTTCTCAACTCTAAACAGTGGTATGTTTAAAAAAATTGTTTTAATAGTCCCAATGGAAATTAATGTCATATTAATGCTAAACACAATTACATACAATATTTTCATACCATCTGAGCTACTTCAAACTGCCTTCTGAGATTGGCCTTTAACAAGGGAGAACAGTACAAGCAATTGGGAAGTAATGAGAACCACGTTAATCCAGGGGTCGATAAAGATCAGGAAAGGCAACGCCCGGAAAAGCTGACTCTTCCTCTGGATTCAGCGAGGAGCAGATGAAGAGACAGCCATGCACTGAAGAGAACTCGCCTCTTCAAAGACTTTTCACGTGACCTGGGGATATGAAAGAACTCAGGCCCTGTGGAGAAACCCGGCAGGCGCCACCCAAGGATGCTCAGCACCCCCACAGCAGGCCCATTGGGTTGGCCATGCCCAAGTAGGCTCCCCAGTTTCCGGGACCCAGATCCCTGGCCAGGCCCTCCCCTGCCAGCCCCTCCGCTCCGTTCCAGTGGAGCCAGGAGCCTGGGCCACCTTCTGCCCTCCAGGACGGATGGTAGCCCTTCTGCCCTGTCAATAGCCACTGCCCCTGCCCGCAGACTGACGTCATTGGACTGTTTATGAAGCAGCCCTGCCAGAGCAGCGCAAGGACTGAAGCAAACGTTGCTCCAAAAATGCTGGGAATGCATCTCAAATGGGCAGCTGGAGACTTGTCCTAACTTTTACTGCTATTTTTAAGATACCTCTATCCCTGGCAAGGCTGGGTTAGAGCCCGAGACCTCAGTTTTATTTGACCACATTTATCTCCAGAGGTCACTGAAAGCTAAGAATAAGAAGGGTCATCGAGTTCCCAACATTATTTGCCAGAAAATCAGGGCAAACTTCATTTCCCACCACGGAAGCAGTTTTAAACACTGGCTTTGGAGCTAGCTCCAGAGTTCTCTCTCCTTCTCTCCCTCCCTTCCCCACCCTCTCTCTCCCTCCCTCTCCTTCTCTCTCTGTCTCTCTCTCTCTCTCATTCTCCTGCATTTCTACTTCTTACAGCCACTGATGATTCCTGGCTTACAACATCAGTAGGTTATGCCACCACTTTCTGAGACTCTGGTGAGCCAGCCAAGTTCACACAGCACGCAGTGAGCAGGACCCACTGAGGCAGAGATTTCCACCAACAATTATTATCCATCTAGGAAAAGGTAGCCCCAAAGACACCTATGTGATATCTAGATGACAGGCTGACCCTGCTGTCTGGACACCTGCTTACACCATAGAGTGGAGCATCTCTTTATTTCAAATGTTACCCCCCCGGTCTTCACACTGCAGCCAGAGAGAACACCAAAGAAAAGTATGATCTCATCCCTGCTCCCTGTGGCTCCCCACTGCCCTAAGAGGGAGTCCACGCACCTCCATATGACCACCGTGCTCTTCTTGGTCTGGCTTCTGTATTCTCTTCCCGCCTTGCCCCTCAGCTTATCCAACACTCCAGCTCCCACCACCGAGCACCAAGGAGCCCGTCTACCTGGAAGGCCTTGTTCTCCCTGGACCTCCTTCACCACTTGAGGCTCCCTTCCGGTCCCCCAGCACTCTTCCCACCCCTCCCAGGCTGGCTTGGTCGTGTGAATGAGGAGCATCGACTAGAGCATCAGTCTGGCCAAACTTGCGCCATTCAACCTTCAGGTTTTAGCTCCCTTGAAGCTTCCACACAATACTTAGGTCTGGGTTAGATGCATGCCTCCTTCTTCAGGGTTCTCAGAGCTCCTCGCAGTTACCCTATTTTAAATTATTAAAGCTAGATTATAATTTAATAATAATAATCTACCCTATTATAAATTATTAAAGCTTGCTTACTTGCTCATCTCCTCATCTAGAATTCTTGAGGGAGGCCTTGTGTCTTATTCCTCATTATGGAACCAACGACAAGCCTTTATCGTAAGGTCTCAAAAATGGTTGCACAGCGAACCCATAATCCTTACTGGTACTGAGTAAGGAAACATGACAGATGCTCCAGAAATCATTTTGGTGTGACCTTGCAGATACATTTTCTTAGCAGAAATATAAAATGCACTTCCTACTCGTGCACCCAGTAATAATTCTGCCCCTTTGCTGGAAGAGGTTTTTGTTTTGTTTGTTGTTGTTTTTTAATGGGCCACCAATAAGCCATGATCCCATCAGCTTGCACGGAAACGAGGAAGAGAAGAGTCGTCGTCGGGGCTTTGCAGCAGGCTGGGGAGTCCGTGACTCTGAAATGGTTACAACAAAGCTTGATCTGCTCCACGTGTACTAATAATACCTGGTATGCTGGGCTTTGTTGTTGTAGCCATTCATCTTAACTTCTCACCAGGGCACTACCTCCTACTCTGTGCCTCAGATGGAGATCATTTCACCTCCAACCCCCAACTCCTCCTCTGGTTACCGTGATTGGTTCTGGGGAGGGCATGCATACTGGTCCTAGCGGATGAGATTTTTGCAGGATCACTGGGAGAGAGGTATGTTCCCACTTGGACTTGGACCCAGTAGCTGCTGGCTGTCATAATCCAGTCATTGACTGGAGTAGAGTTGGGAGGGAGGTAGAGAAAGATCTGATTTAGGCAGTCCTGGTTGGAATTAAGTCTTGCCTTGGGGGCCCATTAAAGTCCTTTTATGTTTAAGTTAGTTAAGCCCCTGATATATCTGGAAAGCATATTCATAGTGTTTCTGGGAGATCTGATGGTCAGAAGCAAGGTCACAGACCCTCAGTCCTTCTAGACCAACTAAAGAAACACACACAGGGGGATGGGATGCCTGGATGGCTCAGTCGGTTAAGCGTCTGCCTTCAGCTCAGGTCATGATCCCAGGGTCCTGGGATTAAGCTCCACATCAGGCTCCCTGCTCAGTGGGGAGCCTGCTTCTCCCTCTTCTTGCCACTCCCCCTGCTTGTGCTCTCTCTCTCCCTCTAAAAAAAAAAAGAAAAAGAAAAAGAAGAAGGAAGGAAGAAAGAAAAGAAAGAAAAGAAAAAAGAAAAGAGAAAAGAAAAGAAAGAAAAAGAAAGAAAGAAGAAAGAAAGAAAGAGAAAGAAAGAAAGAAAGAAAGAGAAGAAAGAGAAGAAAGAAAGAAAG